TATTTTAAGATATTTTTATCAAGACTCTGATTATTATTGTGTGAAATTTTAAATAATGTATGTTTTTTTGTTTTTTTAAAATTTGTATTTTTTATATGTGAGATTAACAAATAAATTTAGGAGTAATAAACATGATACCGCAATTCAAAAATTTAGACAATTAACCGGTGCATATGCAATTTTACAAAAAGAAAATGAATTTCTCCATGAAGCAATAAAGAAACAGCTTGATGCGATTAATAGAAAACTTGATACAGATGCTTTGGCTACGGCATTAGCCAATTCACTTAACCAGAATTGGAGTCATCAAAAGTAAATTATGATACTGTAAAACAAAAATGTAAAGAGGCATTAGAAGAAACACAGGACTTTTTAGATAATATACCTACTGATATTGATGCTTTATTAAAGGCATGTCTCTTTGAATGTCTAGTTCTAACTCATCAAATTCCATTGTTGGTTCTAGTTAGCTTATGTGATAAGTTCTAGTTCATAATATATATTTATTGTAATTATTTTTTTAAAATTATATCATATTTTGATAAATACCAAACAATTTTATTAAATTTTCTATAAATTATATATTTTTATTTTATAAAATAATAAATTTACTTGAAAAAATTATATAAATTTATAATTTGTAAGATTTAAGTGATTATATAAATGATATAATAAACTTTTCACAGTCCACCATCCATTTTGGTGTGTATGCGGTCTTCTACATTCACAATGTGGAAGCTCCCAATCTGGATGATATTCGATATCTATGCTTCCTTCGTTGTTTGTATTATCTGTTTGAATATATTTTATTCGTTCTTCAAACAGACTTTCTCTCCATTGCAACGCAAGGTTTACTACTTCGTCAACAGTGTGATTTTTTTTTAAATGTTTTGCAATTTCTTTCCAGTGTTCTTTTTTAAACAAATGAAGATATCAAAATCTATTGTTTTCAGGAGATGCGAATGAGTTGATCATTTTTTGTTTTGTTTTGCTGGATAGTTTTCGAATAGTTTTTTTTTAAAAATGATTTAGGAGTAGCAGGCATTTATTTTATAAGTAATTTCAAAAAATTTCAAGTAAATTTTGGTAATTCCATAAATTGAGTCAGCTTCATTTTTAAACAAATATATTTGGAATCTCCGAATTTCTGATGTTATGTAATTTTTCCAAATACAATAATAGTATGAGATTTTAATAATCAATAAATTTATAAATATGTAATCATTTTGGTAATTTTTCTTTATCTTAAAAATTTACGTAAATGTGAGTAAATTTATAATTTATCTTTAAAGATATTATTCTAATATTATTTTTATTTTAGAATGAATTTTAAAAAAATTTTTATTCTCTTGGTAATTCTTGCTTTGATTAATGAACTGCTAATTCAAGATGCTTGATCTGTGGAAGGTTGGTATGAATAAGCGAACACATTTTCAACATAAAAAGAAAGAGTAGTTCATTGCAGAATTTGTAATAAAGCTAACGTAAATAAGCGTACACATGGTTATCATTAGTAATTTATAATATAAATAGATGATCTGTTCATATATAAGTTCAGAAATTTTAAAATGAATTCTTTAGCCCTATCGCCTCACCATAATTATTGTTTTTTAATAATGTAAGTATATTTGTTTTTTAAAACTTATTTATTTTTTAGTAATTACATTTATTTTTTTGATTAGTATGGTGAAAGTAAATCAAAATACTATACCTTTGATTAATGAATTACAACAAGTAAATAAAGAAAAGAATAAAAATGAAGTTCAATTAAAAGAAGCAAAAGAATATCAGAATCGTTATGAAAAGTTAGAAACAAAATTTCATGATCGTTATGAAAAGTTGGAAGCGAAATATAATTATTTAGTTATTTTTTTTATGTTTTTTAATTATGTGTTTATGCTTTATCATTTTTTTAATTTTTATCAAATATGAGAAATCTTATGTATCTGTTGATAATAATTTATTAAGATTTAAATAAATAAGCGTATATTCGAAGTTGTTTAAGTGTACACATGACTTGTATTACAATTGAATAAGATAAATTTGATTCAATTAACATGTTTGAGTTTTTAGTTTAACTCATCGTAATTGTTTTTTAATTGAATGTAAGAATATGTTAGTTTTTTTTATTTTTAATTGAAC